GGGACGCCTGTATTAGGGGGTCAAAGAAATGATTTCCAGCTGTATAGGGATGGACTCCAAGTCTCTTCATTGAATCGGTAAGTCTCCTGATGAGGCCAGAGAGCTCCATGTCTAGGGGCCAGGTGAGCCCCTCAGTCCGCCCGTCAGTCCTCAAAGCTGGCCTTTCTGATGGCCATGACAGTTGCAGATACTGAGGCAGGGCAAGTGATCTTTTGGTCTTCCTGGATGTGAATGTTATACTTGGCTCTCAGTAGTACAGAAGGCCAGGGTAACGGGTCGGTACAAAGAGTGGACGCTCACGGGGTGCGGTGGCTCACGCCTGTAATCGCAACACTTTGGGAGACTGAGGCGGGCAGATCATGAGGTCAGGAGTTCCAGACCAGCCTGGCCAACATGGTGAATTGCATCTGTACTAAAGATAGAAAAAATTAGCCAGGTGTGATGTTGCGCTCCTGTAATCTCAGCTACTTAAGAGGCTGAGGCGGAAGAATCACTTGAACCCAGGAGGTGGAGGTTGCAGTGAGCCATGATTGTGCCATTGCACTCCAGCCTGGGCGACAGGGCAAGACTCCATCTCAACAACAGCAGCAACAAAAAGAGTGGACACTCTGTGATTTAGATTCTAAGTGAGGGATTGGCAGCCGGCTGGCACTGGGTCGTCCCTGGAAGTGGCAGGTTGGGCTGTACTCCTGTCTGCCAGTGGGTCTACTGAAGTGGAAAAAGAGCAACAAGGCAATGTTGTTCTAAGGACAGGGATTTGGTGGGGGGTCTCAGATTCTCAGCCACAAAGCTTGAAATGAAAGTGAGTCAACAACTTTTGCAGAAAAATTCATTCTTTTCAGGCGGTTAGGGCTCCCTGGTTTATCCTCCTAGGATGCGTTTCTGTCTAAATGGTTCATGCCCTAGTGAGAAATAAGCTCATTCATGGCAGCCACACCCTCTGTTTTCCTTCACGAGTGTTCAAGTTGTCTTTGGTTTAGCTTCAGAATATACAGTAGAAATAATAGTACAGATGTGGTGAGGGTGAATTGCCCTGAAAAGTGCTTTGAGTTTCTGAGAAATAAAATAAGATAGCATGAAAGACCAGTTGTGATTCATTTTTATTTCCCCAACATTTAACCCATTGTCTAGCACCTTGTGGTCACTCCCTGATTCCTTTTACTGATTGAATGAAAACACTATAGCAGGTGACGGTGCTATTAAGCCTATTGATATTCCCTTGAGAGAACAGTGTTCTTGTCCGTGCTCTAAGCAATGTCAAATCAATTATACAAAAGTGATTTCCGTCAGGGGACATGCTACAGAGCACAGCGATGACAGTCGCTTTTCCTAATGAGGTTTACTGGACTCTGAGGCCTGCCTGTACTTGAAGAATGCTGGTAGTGCCCCACTGGGAGACCCGCCAGAGATTAAACGTGATGCCCATGTCTTTTTCCCTCATTCTCAGGATCCTTTCTAAGGTTCCCTATGTGGCCTTTCAGAGGAGGGATTTTTTTTTCATCCCTGCATACTTAAGGACTTATCAAGGTCCTGGCTATGTGTTGGGTATTTCTGCAAGGCTGCAGGAGAAGAGAGGCCATGGTTACAGCATTCAAGATGCCTGTTTCCTAATAAGGAAGAAGTACAAGTATTGTAACCACAATGTTATGCAGAATGTGTAAGGGCTGAAGTTATTGAGATGAAGAGGGTAGAATCTTCCCCCAGGAGTCAGGGAGGGTTACATATGAAGGAGGTGGAGTTTGAACCCTGCTTGGGGAAAGGCTGGGAATTTGGTGATTAGGGATGGGAGTGGAGAAACCATTCCAAGTGGAGAAAAAAAGTAAGAGGAAAAGAAGAGGCTGGGTTGAATTTGAAGAGCAGTGAGTTTGCAAGAGCTTGGACTGGAAGGGGGAGGGAGGCCTAACTTGGAGGACCCTGGATGTCACCCCAAGGATTGTGAATGACTCTCATTATCTTTTTAATGTTATACGGTAAGAGAGGCCACAGCTCTTCTGCCCCAGTAAAGATGGTGGGAGCAGAATAAATTCTTTCACAGAAAAGCTGAAGGCTCTTGGAAATTTCTCACTTAACCATTTCCATTTGTGTTGAGTCCTCCCTTCATTTTCTCTCAGTGAGAAAAATGCAAGAATAGATGAGATCGTTGGGAGGGTCAGATAGCATTGTGGCTCCAGTGTTGATACCTGCCTCAATCTAAGGGTAGGATGTTCCTCCTGGTTTGACAGATGAGCTTAAAAACTAGGAACCAATTAGTCCTACTTCCTCAGACAAAATAAACTGGGTATGTTTCATTTAAGCATATTATACAATTATGTCTAAATACTATACATTATTGATTTGGTTTAATGCTCTTAGGCATGCCATCTTATTTTTTGTTCTGAGAGTTTTATCTGATTGCAGATACTCAGCCTAAGTTAATATTTTATGAGACCCGATGAGAACTTAAGGCTAAAAATATGATGGAAGCCAGGGCTATTTTTTTTTTTTTTTTTTTTTTTTTTTTGGAGACAGAGTCCTGCTCCGTTGGCAGGCTGGAGTGCAGTGGCATGTTCTCAGCTCACTGAAACCTCCACCTCCTCGGTTCAAGTGATTCTCCTGTCTCAGCCTCCCAAGTAGCTGGGACTACAGATATGTGCCACCAGGCCCAGCTAATTTTTGTATTTTTAGTAGAGATGGGGTTTCACCATGTTGGCCAGATGGTCTCGATCTCCTAACCTCATGATCCGCCTGCCTCAGCCTCTGAAAGTGCTGGGGTTATAGGCATGAGCCACCGTGCCTGGCCATTTTTTTTAAATTTTAAAGACAATTTGGCTACACTCAAGAGAGCTAAGATTGAGAAACACAAACCCCCGTTTGAGTCAAGGCCCATTTCCTTTATTGGCCATTCCTAAGAGCAATGATGAATTTTAACAAATTTTCTCATTATTAAGTCCATAGCCTTCCAAAGACCATAGTACTTGATTTTTATATTCTTACAGATATTTACGAAGTGATTATTACATCCCAGGCACTGATCTAAAAACTTTACAGATATCGTCATTTTATCCTTATAACAACCATATGAAATAGGTGCTGTTCTTACTATTCCTGTTTTACAGATAAGGAAATTAAGGCACAAAGAGGTAAAGTAACTTGTCCAAGGTCACACAGATAGGAGTCATCGCCATTGAATAGACATGTGAAGTAAAGGTTGCGTTTGTGTCACCTGCATGGAAAAGAATAAGAACTTGCCTGAAAACTTCCCATGCTGTGCTCTATGCAGAATTGGGTTCTTGGACCATTTTATTAGAGGCTTATTTTCTACAGTTTACATCAGTAGTTGTATTTCAAGAAACTCCGTATTTTTCCTGTAAATGTTTGCAAGTGAATAATTTCCATATATGTACAGCAAGTATACATAGTCCAGCACTGCATACTTTTTTTATGTTAGAAGATGTGACTGGTAGTAGCATTTCCCCAGATGCACAGCAGTGACTGTACAGTTAATAAGAACCGACATTTAGTCACATGTTCTATAGGCCCAACACCCTGCTAAGCACATCATATGCATTATTCTGTTTAATCCTCCCAACAATCCCATGGAGCAGATTCTACAAATATCCCCTTTTTATAGATACGGAAACGGAGGCCTAGAAAGATGTGGTAATTGAGCACAGATTGCAGAGCAGGAATTTGAACACTGGAACTGTTTTTTGAGCCTCTGGTCTTGACTTCTCTGCATGCTGCCTCCCCCTGTGCCATACCAGGGGCCAGGAATGACCACTCATTCGTGGCTGAGTGCCAGGGCAAAGCCTTTGCCAGGAGCGGCTGTGTGACATGCTCACAGCCTGTGGCCCTGCTTGCTGGCTGTGGCCTTCTCCCCATGCTGGCCGACTCAGCCATCTGCTCCTGACTCCTGCCGGTGAATGACAGCTGATCTTGACAAACTTCTGTGGTCATCTTGTAGCAGATCTGCTTCATGTCTTAATAGATCCTCCACTCACTTTTGCTGTTAGCAAGTATTTAAAGCGTCTTGTTTCACACTGTGTCCCTCCACCATCAACCTTTTCCCCAGCGGTGTTCAGCATTTGTGGTCTGCCTGAATACCACTGTACCCTGTGACTGGGCAGCAAGGAGATGGGTGTGGGCAGAGCATGCGGAAAGCCAGACAGCATGGATCCTGACAGTGATGGTGGTGACTGTAGGAGGGGCGTTATGCAGTCACGTTAGCTGCTCATTAGGCACCTTGCAAAGTCTATTGATGATGACGTCTACTCTTACTTTTAGATAGTATTTTCTTCTACACCAAGCTTGTTATCATTATGTGGAGGATGCTCTCTAAGCATTTGGTGAATGCATGAACCAATGAGTGACTGAATGAATGAATTGTTGCCTGCTTCCTTTGATTAAATGGCATCCTAAAAGGCCCTGGGGATGCCTTTTCTCCTGCTGCTACTTGAGATTGTGTTTCCTCCACTCAGCTCTTCCCTCCTGAATGCCTGGCCTTTCTTCCTCTTCTTTTTGTATCAGCCCAGGGAGTCACTGGACTCCATGGTGGAGGCAAGAAATGTGTTTTAGGTGATATTACAGATGGTGTTAGGTTCCATAATTTTAGAATAGAAATACTATTTAGGGAAATTAGGAGTTAAATTAACTTTCAAGGGCCAATGTGAGACTCAAGCTCCCATGTATGATATGAATGTAGGAGCATGCGTTCTGAGTCATAAACAGACTGTGGGGCAAGCCCCTGGGAACTGAATATATTTGAGAAACTCATATCATCCAAACACATACAGTAGAATCTGTCCCTCATCTGTTCTCCTGGCTGAGAGTCTCTTCTTGACTTGGTTGTTTTCTTGAAATGCTGGATTGATATAGAATGGTTTATAGAACTTGTTTTCTTGGTACTAGTGAGAGATTCCTACTGAGTTTTGTTTTCCAGTTGGAATTGATAATCAATACATCACACCAGTATTGGGGTAGATTGTGCATTCAGTTGTTTTCCTTCCTGTATCTTTCCACAGATGTGTCATCCCCACACCAGCGAGCCTCTGCCAAGATGAAACCGATAGAAGAAGGGGTAGAAGATGACGATGAGGTCTTTGAACCGGTATCTCCAAATACATTTAAAGTCCGTTAGCTGCCTTGATCAGAGAGAGAATTCAGGTTACCAAGACAAGAGGTGTCTTGAGATCCTGGAAAATACCAGCACTTTTTCATGGCTTTTAGGTTATTCTATGTTAGTGCATCCAGACTGGTAGAGTCTGAGGGAGGAAGTGAGGAAGGATCAAGGATGGAAGGGTTCTTTCACTTATCCTTTTTATTATTCAGCCTTGAAGTAATTGTTTTACTGAGCCTTCTGACTATGCCTTGTTCTATTTTGAGATATATATTTTCACAGTCTTTTCTAGATACATTATTGTTTTAACTTAACAAATCTTAGCAATCTCTCAATGCAAATGCCTTTTCACTTATTTTTTCCAAGTTGCGATTCTGTTTCCTCACAGTTTTTTCTCTTCCATGGCAATGGGGTTGTTCATCTGATAATTTTAACAAACAATGTAAGTTTAAAATTGAGGTTAAGGTAACATGAAAAAGCAGGAAATCTCAAACTTTACTCCATAATTTTTTAATGGGACATTTTAGACAAAGGTGTGATTTGACTGGTTTTATTTTTCCCCCAGCCCAGAGATATTTCTCTGCTAGATCACCTTACTTAGCTGGGCACTGTGTTGATAACTTGATAATGAACGAAACTCTCAGATTTTACTGACATTACCCTTGTATTATGCCATTTATAAACCGCTGTGAAACCTGAAGCTGGAGAGATAACAGATGAAAGGGTTTCTGAGCACGGGTTAACCTCCAGCTAAACCCTACTTCTTTGGGATTTGGAGTCGCCTTGTCCTGCACACTCTGGTGTGGGAAACACTTTATGTAGGGCAGGAGGACAGGGGCGTTAAATGGCTGGGCAAGTGCTATAGGATGAGGCGACTGAAAGATCCGCTTCATTCTTTGATCTGTATTCTCCAGTTCCAGATTGTTCATCTAGAGGCAGAGACGTCTCTTTAAAAAAACTGCCAGACGTCCCCGTGCCATAGCTGCAAACATGAACACAGTGAAGGGCAGAGGATTTACCACAGGCCAGGCCAGGGACATCCAACCCAGATACTGCAGTGTAGGCCTTGATTCCAGAGCTTTCTTTTCTACTAAAATCATGGTTTAGGGAACAGTGGCATTGGCTGGAGGGAAATGCATAACTGGTCACTGCGTCTGACCAGTGTGGCTGTGACGCTTGGCCAGGACACCCTGTTGAGTAAGGCTCATTGATCGACCGTGCTAGTCATATCTCTTTTGCGTCATCCACTAGAACCAACTTTGAGTCAGTCCCCTAAATAGCTAAGAAAAGTTCCAAATGAAATTGTTTTCAGGTGAACTGAGCCAAAAGAAGCATCTCTTTTCAGGAGGTGATTTCTGTTAGAGGAGGCATAGAAATAAGCTCTTCTAGGTCATCTAGGGTCACCTCATTTTCCTAAGTATGTTTTGTGTGTGTGTGTAGGGGGGGTTGTTTTGTTTTTTTGGGGGATGGAATCTTGTTCTGTCGCCCAGGCTGGAGTACAATGGTGTGATCTCGGCTCACTGCAATCTCCACCTCCCGAGTTCAAGCAATTATCCTGCCTCAGCCTCCTGAGTAGCTGGGATTACAGGCATGCACCACCACACCCAGCTAATTTTTTTATTTTTTTAGTAGAGATGGAGTTTCACCATGTTAGTCAGGCTGGTCTCAAACTCCTGACCTTGTGATCTGCCCACCTCAGCCTCCCAAAGTGCTAAATATGTTTTTTAAGCAATTATTTTAGTAATTTTATTTGAATTAAATTTACATGCTCAGTCACTCATTGAGAAAATACACAGACTCTGAATCCAGTTCTTGACATCTTCATCAGATGTTGGTTTATTGACATCACAGTAAAAAGGCTACTGTCGACTGGACACGGTGGCTCACGACTGTAATCACAGCACTTTGGGAGGCCAAGGCAGGTGGATTGCTTAAGCCCAGGAGTTCGAGACCAGCCTGGGCAACATGGCTAAACCCCATCTCTACAAAAAAAAAAAAAGGAAATTAGCTGGGCGTGGTGGTGCACACCTGTAGTCCCAGCTACTCAGAAGGCTGAGGTGGGAGGTTCACTTGAACCTGGGAGGTTGAGGCTACAGTGAGCCCAGATCGTGCCACTGCACTCCAGCCTGGGCAACGGAGTGAGACCCTATTTTTTTTTTTTTTTTTTTAAAGGCTGCTTTTAACCGTACTACTGCAACAGTCTCTTCAGGTAGCTGAATTAGGAGCTTGTTTTGGAGAAATGAAGCAAAGGTGAATGACAGCCTAGGCTTTGAAATTAGAAAGCTCTCAGATTGAACACTCTCTCGCTTGCTCACTCTCTTTCTCTCTCTCTCTCTCTCTTGCTCTCACTCTTGCCCTGTACCTGAGAGCACAGGTGTGATGTGATGTCATAGTGTCGATGCTACTTTCCTTTAACCATTGGGATAAAGTTGGGCAGCCTGTTTAGTTTACACATGCATAAGACTATTTTACAAAATCACTCTATAGAGTCATTAGATGTAACACCTTTCCCTGAGTAGAAAGTAATGGATGTGTTTGGAGATTATTTTCTGTAGTGCTGGGAACAAACCTGTTTTAAAAGCACACTGCTAAAAGTAGGTGATATAAGCCATTTACTGTTTTTATTAAAATGTGTGTGTGTATCAGTGTCATTGATAGTGAAGATTGTAATCTCAAGGTTAGGAATCTTAAAAGAGCCACTTAGCCTGAATGGGAAACATGAAACTGTTTTTAAATACACACCTCTAAGGAAGACAATGAGACTCCGAAAAAAGGAGATATAAGGCATTGAGTAGCCCTCCCATATAGACTTCATCGCAAAGAGGCAGATAAGAAGACAGAGAAGTGTTTTAAGTGTATGATCTCCTATGGAGTACTTTAAATTTATTTATACAAATGAATACATGTATCTTTATATAATGCATAGATACATAGACAAAAACATGTTTGCTGCCAAAGTTCCCAGTAAGATACTTCCAGTCTTTTTTGGCCTTTACTTAGCCGAATGATCAAAGTTCAGAAAATGGTCTGTAAAAATCATTCCATATACAACCCCAAATCTACTCTGTTTAAATGTAACATCAACTAAGTTGTATGAATCTGGAGTGTAATATTAGAATGTATATGTCATTTAAAATATTTTGAAAGCCCTCATATTTATATTTATTAAACTAACAGCATAGACACTATGTAAATTTGCAATGATGCTTATATATCTTAGATTAGTAATAATGGGTGCTATATAATTATTTTTCATTACCATCCCTGGCTCTCTGGAACCTTCCCTGTTTCTCCCTATCACTCAGTTTCATTTTAATCATTGGACATCTTTGCGTTTTGCTGCTAACAGTGTGTGTACATCACCCTCTTTATATCTGGCTTTCCTGCTCGTCTGAAGCGCTCCTGATCTTATAACCTGGAACTGCAGATTCCTCCCTGTCAACTCCCATCAGGGCCCCAAAGACAGAGTCACTGGTTGCGGGAAAAATATTTGGGGAAAGATGGTGTAACCTACCCACTGACCTGTCCCCAGTGTTTCCTGGAAATGGCATGGCAATCCAGAGAAGGTTTCCTACTGTTGCGTGTGGTGGCTCCCAGCCAGGCACCCAGCATGCAGGTCAGCCCCTCCCAGCAGGGCTTAGCATTGTCCTCTTCGCAGATGCCACATTGCAGCCCCAAGGACTTGCCGTTTTGTGTTTTTTGAAAACTCATGTTCTTGGTCATTTATAAAGCTACTTTATAAATAGCTTTGATCCTGCTATGCCTTGGTTTCCTCTCCCTTCTCTCTTTCCAATCCTGGTTTCCCGACCTCCTCTTGTAGTAATTCCCAACTCAATTCAAAGTCCCAAGAATTTGGAACGGTACGATGCTATACAGGGAGCTCAAAGCTGAGGCTTAATCATGGCTTCGGTTCTGCTCGTCAGGGGACACTTCCCTTACCGATGGTAGCCATGTTTTGATTATCACAGAACCCCCCGAATACTCTGTCTATAGTGACACACTGTAGGTGCCATAAATTTTAAGAAACCTGCTTTTAAGTACTATTTATAGGTTTTTCTGTTACACTTGCTACCTAGTTTGGAAATACATGAGGATTTTATGAAAGCTTTTTACAGACATATTATTTATAGGAAACTCATTCTTTGTTTTTAGGTGCCATTTAAATTGATAACACTTACTTTATAATAAAGATGCTTTTTGTCTGGATAGAGCCTTATAGTTTAAAATATCTTCATATATTACCATTTGATCAAATAAATTTCTTACTTAGATCATGTATGTATTTTTTCTTTCATTCCTCTTACATGTGTCTAGTTTGTTCAAATGCCATGCCCAAAGCTGAGGTTGTGGGGATTGGCCTGGTGCAGGTATTCTGAGCAGGCCAGCAGGGCGGTGCTCATGGGTCTGTCTTGCCTAACTTCAAAGGTCCTGCCATCTTGGCTGCTTTGGCCATGAAAGAAAATGGCCGGAAGGCAGCGTAGATGGTGTTGACTAGATGCAGCAATGGAGAAGCCTTCAGAGTTTTACTGTCGGGACTTCGTGGACTTAAGCTTTTTAGTTGCTGCATCTGAACATTCACTCCTTTCTAGTTTCATAAGATTCAGCAATACAAGGAGTCACATGAAGGAGTCGGAAAACCTCCCTGGATCTGTTCTGTGGTGGAGGAGGGGGACAGTTTTTCTATTCTTTGAGAAACCCACATTTTCTCCAATCAGCTGTCCTAGGTATTGGAATGGAAACTTGACAGCCCATCTTTGGCCTTGAGTAGCAAGTCCTTAGCATCTAACACACTCGCTCGTGCCAGCGTCAAGGTTAGACCCAAATGGAAGGAGCATCTTATACTACGATGAGAGGAATTAATTCTGTCACTCAACAGGTCGTTACATAGATGACACGGTGGATTTTATGATGTCCTATGCCTGATGTCCCAGTTTCCACCCCTGAACTTTGTGCTGAGCCAGCTTTTGACCAGTGTCCCCTTACCTAAGGCTGCTCTGTAAGAGCTGGGAGTTTCCACTGATGTCCACTTGGGGGTTTTCTGTGGACAGACATGGTTGCAGCCCACCAGAAGATAAAGCTGACAGGACCTGTTTATTTGTGGGAACAGAAGCGGTGGTGAGTGAGAGGGGCTTGTCAGAGATTTCTGGCTTCTGGTACTGCTGGTTTGTCTCTGTCCAGGAACATGGCAGAGCACCAGGTTTGAGTGAAAAGCCTGAGTATGTTTTCTTCACGCCAAGTTAGAAGGGCCTTGAGAATAATGAAGAGATGTCAAGCAGGCAGCTGGATAAGTCAGTCTGGAACTCAGTGAAGGGATCTGGGCTGAAGAGACAGATTTTCAAGTTGAAGACGTCACTGTGAGTTTACCAGCTTCCCAATACATGAAGATTTTTCTAGTTAAGGTTTTTTCTTCTCGTTCCCTTCCCTCCGTGAATGAATGAATGAACGAATAATAACAAATGAGTGAATTTTTGATCTTTTATTTGGAAACATGCTAACATTGGAAAGATCCACATAAGTGAGCCAGTATTTTTTAAATGATCGAGGCAAGATGTTGTAAAGTTGCACATGGATATAAGATCTCCTCTAAGCGCAAGCCAGGCCACTGCAGCAACACAGAACAGCCACTCACAGGGTTTCAGACTCCACAGTGCAAACAGCCTGTACGGAACATTGTTCCTTTTCCCCTCCCACTGCTTTGCTTGAGTAACCTTAAAGAAACTATCAAGGATAGAGTTTTTTTTTTTTGGTAGTATCAAGAATAGCCACAGTCAGCCGGGTGTGGTACCTCCCGCCTATAATTCCAACACTTTGGGAGGCCAAGGTGGGTGGATCACTTAAGGCCAGAAATTCAAGACCAGCCTGGGAAACATGACAAAACCCTATCTCTACTAAAAGTACAAAAATTATCCAGGCATGGTGGCATGCACCTATAATCTCAGCCGCTCAGGAGAATCGCTGGTACCCAGGAGGGCGAAGTTGCAGTGAGCCAAGATCACACCACTGCACTCCAGCCTGGGCGGCAGATCAAAACTGTGTCTCAAAAAAAAAAAAAAAAAAAAAAGAATATCCACAATTATCTAAAGATTATTAAAGTACTTGCTCTGTACTCCTCCCTTTCCAAAATCTGTGTGAGGCTAGATTTTCTTCATACACGTCAACCAAAACTATGTTACAATCTACTGAATGCAGAGCAGATGTGAAGATCCAGCTCTTCTATTAAGTCCTACTTCTAGAAGAATTGCAAAAGCATAAAACAACGCCACTCTACTCTTTTTTTGTTGTTGTTTTATAAAATAGTAATTTTTCAAGAAAAGTGTTCTTCCTGTTAACATGTAATGAGTTTTTTATCATTTTCAAGTGGAATGCTACGTGTCCTCATTCTCTAAACACCTCTCTTCTAGCCTCATATTTTCTGGTGGAACTTTGTGCTGCTATCAGAATAATCTGAAAATTTCCCGACAGACTTGAAAACCTGCCGATGGAGCTTCCTTTCCTACAGAGAAAAGGCCACACTCTTTGCACAGCCACCAAGGCCGTTTCCATACCCAGGCACCTGCACCCAGCTGACGCAGTGACTTCTCCATCCCCTGCACTCATCACACAGGAGCCCGCCTCTGCCTGAAATGCCTGCACTTCTCCATCCAGCAGTGCCGCCAGGATAAACTCCCACACTTCCGTGGATCTGCTCTTCCCTCCTTTGCTGCCCTCTGTGGCCAAGAGTTTATGCCTACAGCATGGCTGGTTGGATGGCAGCAGCCACAGCAGGGATGTTGGCTTAGGTCTCAGTGTCCCTTCAGATCATTGTGAATCTGACGACGCTCTTTCACTTCACTTATTTGAACCCTCAACAGTACTGTCAGTGTGGGAGGGCAGGCACTGTGTCCCGTTTTTAGAAGGGAGAGAAGGAGGGTACAGAGAACGTATGTGACTCGCCCAAGGTCACACTGTGAGCACATCCCAAGCATATGTGGTCTGGGCTCTTTCCTAGTTCTGCTTTACAACTCTGGTTCTTTTTTTTTTTTTTTTTTTTTAAGAGACAGGTTCTTGCTCTTTTGCCCCGGCTAGAGTGCAGTGTCATGATCACAGCTCTCTGCAGCTTTGAACTCCCAGATTGAAGTGATCCTCCCAGATCAGCGTCTCTAACAGCTGAGACCACAGGCGTGCATCACGATGCCCGGCTAATTTTTTTTTTTTTTTTTTTTTTTTTTTTGTAAAGATGGGATCTCACTATGCTTCTCACGCTGTGTCTTGGCCTCTGAGAAACTGACTTATTTTCTGTTTGTTTTACTCCTACTCTATGCTTAGGCCTTGTTCTTATTCCTGTTTGGGGCCATGTTCACAGTTCCAACCTCATCTATAGTGGCATCCTCTTGGTTGCTTTACCACTGGTTCTTGGATTTTGTGTTTTTTGCATCTCGTTTGTTTGATTTTGAGACAGGTTCTTGCTCTATTGCCCAGGCTGGAGTGCAGTGGCATGATCTCAGCTCACTGCAGCCTCTTCCTGCCAGGCTCCAGTGATCCTCCCACCTCAGCCTCCAGTGATCCTCCCACCTCAGCCTCCTGAGTAGCTGGGACTACAGGCGTGTGCCACTATGCGTGGCTAATTTTTGTATTTTTTGTTGAGATGGGGTCTCACCGTGTTGCCCAGGTTGTTCTTAAACTCCTGAACTCAAGCGATCCACCTGCCTTGGCCTCCCAAAGTGCTAGAATTACAGGTGTGAGCCACCATATGCAGCTGGATCCTGGATGTTAAACACTACGTTAATATTTTCTTGCTGTTCACCATAGACAGATATATCCCACTGACTTTCAAGTTCGCCCAGCTTTCTTCTTCATCCTGTCATGAGACAATTCACCTCTTTCCCACTTTTAGTTACGTGTCTCTAATTTTCTTCGTCTATTCGCTTGTCCCAGCTGCCTTAAGTTAAATGCCACAGTGCTTATCATTGCTGGGCCAGTGCACACTGCCTGCTCCCAGGAGGACACAGCACCTTGACTCGGGATTTTACCCTTCGACTTCTTGAATGACAGGCCAACAGAACCAAAAGTGCTTTGAATTGAGCTAAACTATCTCACATCCGAGTCAATGGAAATCCCACCACTTTAAAACGGCTCTTATAAGAAGGGACCTTGGAGGGGGAAGTGACGACAGCCATATAATTCTTGATATTTTTCTGCAAATGATGAAAACGTACTAAGTTGTTCACAGCTGCTGATGACTACATTATAATTACACCATTTGTGTAGAGATTGGCTGAGGCAAGACCTCAGAAGGAGCTCAAATGGGACAAACCCCAGGTTCAACCTCCCAACGGGCCAGCTACATGGTACAGAAAACAGAACTACAATTCACTCACCTGCTATGACATTACTTCTCTTAAAATTGCTTCGGGGGGAGGGACAGTGGGAGGTGGGGAGTTGGGGAGAGATAGCATGGGGAGAAATGCCAGATACAGGTGATGGGGAGGAAGGCAGCAAATCACACTGCCATGTGTGTACCTATGCAACAATCTTGCATGTTCTTCACATGTACCCCAAAACCTAAAATGCAATTTAAAAAATAATAATTAAAAAAATTGCTTCTGTAGGCTGGGTGTGGTAACTCATGCCTGTAATCTCAGCACTTTGGGAGATCGGAGCAGGGAGATTCCTTGAGCCCAGGAGTTCAAGACCATCCTGGCCAACACAGCAAAACCCTGTCTCTACAAAAAATACAAAAATAAGCTGGGCATGGTAACACATGCCTATAATCCCAGTTACTTGGGAGGCTGGGATGGGAGGATTACTTGAGCCTGGGAGGCAGAGGTTGTCAGTGAGTTGAGATCATGCCACTGCACTCCAGTGTGCTCTGGGCAGCAGAGTGAGACCCTATCTCAAAAAAAACAAAAAACAACAACAAAAAAAACACTGCTTCTGTTGTCTTGAAGACCTAATTTTTTTCAGTGTGCTTTCCACTACTTTTATTGTTCTCATCTGATCTCTTTTAACTTTTCTTACAAGTGTTGATGTTTTGTTAGTAAGAACAATTAGGTGTAATGGGAGACAGTGAGAACAGCCATGTATTGAGTGCCTGTTATTTACCAGAGGCTGCATTTAAAATATACGATTCAGTATTTTCACAACGATTCTGCAAGCTAGTTATTATGATTATCACTTTGCAGAGGAGGGAACTGAAGCTCAAATAGACTGAGTTTACCAAGACAATTCAGCAAGTCACAAAGCCGGGCTTCCTCCTGGACCCCCAGACTGAGGCCGGCCTGTCTGCGGCCCT